TATAGGTAAATAAATAAATTTCGGGTTTGGTTTCTGCATTTCTAATTTTTGGACATATAAATGTAATTTAAATATACATTTTGTTGGTCATGAAAATTCCCACGTACAAATGTATTCATCCTAAATGACTTAAATTCTATGAAGTTCCATATCTAAATTTCATTGAATTTGAGCAAACATGAGTCTTTTTTTTTTTTTTGGGAATTACATGATTGTACCACATGATAATAAAACCGACAATGCTTTGGATTCAAGGCTGTAACTTTTGGTTCTTTGGGACATCTATGGTTCATATTAACTCAAATTGTGTGTGTGTGTGTGTGTGTGTGTGTGAAATTTTAGAGGATTTAAGTCTTTCTGGTAAAATCAACACATCGACAAATCTTTGACACCCTAGAAAAAGAAAAATGCCTTTCCTTTTTTGTTGTTCATATGATTGTTTGATTGAGTTAGATTTGAGTTTTATCAGATCTAATCAGGGATATCTTTTTTTTTTCCTTTCTTTCTTTTATGATCCTAATCATTGGATCAAAAAATTTTAGCAGCTTCTTTTTAAAATATTAAATCTGAACCAATATGATGAGTGAGTATGTGTTAACTAAGATTAATGGGTGTTTAATGAAGAAGCCAGTAAGGAGCTGTTTGAGAAAATAAAGAACTGCAATGAGCTAATGCAAGATTTTACGAAATCTTGGGACAAGTAGTTTAATTTTTCAATAACACAAGTTCAAATGGACTAAGGGAGGAAAAAAATAGACAATGAAAATAAATTAATCGATTATTATGCAAAGAGACGTTTTTAATTATTTTCAATAAAAAATAATTTGAAGGTGGCCATTATTTTTTATAAACAAATTTAGCACTATTACCCAAGAAACTAACCCAGTTCTCCTTACAAATATATATATATAATAAAATTTTGTTGGAAAAAATAATGAAGCATATGATAAAATTAAGAAGGTTGGCAAAAAATATGATGAGAGAGAGAGAGAGTGAGAGAGAGAAACCTGCAGGTTGTAACCTTGCAATATACTAAGGTAAGTCGCAGTTAATTATCAAACAGATATTATAAAAAACACCTAAAAGATAATTTAACTTCTTAAATTTGTCATACTATGTTGCAATTGTTTTTAGTTTTTCCCGCAATAAATGGTTTAACTTCTAACTTAAATTTAATTATTCTTAATCTCTCTCATTGATTAATGATAAGTATTTGTGCCAAAAAAATCACTAAATGATCTAAATCACTAAATGTTCAATAATTTGACTTATATTTTCGAATATGACAACTTTCCATTAAATGATTGCTTTTAACATATTCCGATGTTGATTGTTCGCAATTTTTTTTAAATATATGTGTGTGTATATATATATAATGGTATCGCAACAGTAATGCTACTAATTTATAGATGTGTGAATGTGATGTAATCCGAATAAAATAGGAAATAAAAAGATTTTGTATTTTTCTAGTTTAGCAAAAAAAAAAAAAAAAGAAAGCCAATAACAATTCATATCAGTCTGATGGAAATAGAATAAAATTACAAGAATTTAGAAAGGTTTGAATTTAGAAGATTCTAAATTAAGGAAAACAATCATAAGGAAAAACTAGTACTTTTTGTACCTCATCAAAACTGATTCTATTTTATACCCTCATAATGATAACGATAAGTCCGTCCTGCACACAACTGCATTTAATATAAAAAATATTTAACGCGCAGATAAGATTTTTTTTACCAATTTAACTCTGGATATCCTTGTATATAAAAATTGTTTTTTGGATATCTAAATTAATAAATTACTCTTTTTTACAATTTTATATGACAGCATAGAATTGTAACAAATAAATTGCATTAACTGCAACAAATGTATCGAGGTTGAAAATGCGTTGATATAGTAATATTTAGTGTCAATTTAATGTGTAACTTTTGTCAAGTATCTAATAGCAATTGATTATTTTGTTATTTTGAAAATTAATATATATAGAAAAATACTTATATCAAATTCCTCATACATTCTTTATGTCAAATTCTTTTATCACAGATCATGTGTCCTAAATTTTTGTATATGAGTTCATAATTAAATATTTTTAAATATTAATATTTCAACGATAATACATATGATCGTGTATGACTAGAGAATTTGACGTAATAAACATAACGAACTTAATGTAAGTATCGTAAATATATATAATGCATATAGTTTTTTCCCATGATACAATGAATATAATTGATATATCCGCGTTATGAATTGTTGATATGCTGTTATGAACTGTTGATATGCCAACTAGGAATTTTAAATTCAGGCTCTGTTTGGTATGTAAAAATGAGAGGCTCCTTGCTCTTCACAGATTTTTCATTTGAAGAGAAGAAAGAAATTATGTTTTAACTAAAATTTTTATTTTATTTTTTATAAAATTAACATATTCCTAATATTAAAAATTTTATGTATTTTCTCTACCATATAATAAAATAAATTGTATCACTTAACTGCCACATTTATTTTCACCATCGCTACAGAATTTTGGCTCAACATATATATATATATATATATATATTATTGCCAACTTCGGCTTGAGGAGGGATTTTAATAAAAAAGAGAGGAGGGAGGAAAGTTAATAATCTCTTATTTGATTTAATTGAAAGAAGTAGGATAACAAGAACTTTAATGGCCATTTATTTGGTTCAAGAGAGAAGAGGAATGAGTTAACAATGAGAAAATGGTTTTATTTTTATCAAATTTGAATTATTTTTTATTTTTGGCATTGATTTATCATTAAAAGAAATAGTTATATCATAATCTCATCCGTTAATTTTTTATTTTAAAAATGTGAACACTTTCACCTCATATTAGGAATTTTTTTTTGAAGAATAAATATGTCAATATGTCAATATTACAGTATACTAATGTTGCCAGTAAAAAAAATACTGAAATTTCACGCATGAATGAGTTATGTATTAGATTTTGTTAAGTGATAAAACTTATTTTATTATATGGTAGAGAAAATACATAAAAATTTTAATATCAGGAATACGTTAATTTTATAAAAAATAAAATAAAAATTTTAGTTAAAACATAATTTCTTTCTTCTCTTGAAATGAAAAATCTGTGAAGAGCAAGGAGCCTCTCATTTTTACATACCAAACAGAGCCTGAATTTAAAATTCCTAGTTGGCATTCTAAAATTAAAAAAATTATTCAAATAATTTATTTAATTGTGTTAAATTAATGTGAAAAATTTGTAAAATAGTAATTAATTAATTGACTTTATAATTTTGAAAATCATTACATACAGTGAACCTAATTGATATGATAGTGATTATTAATCTATGTATGACATGAAGTGGTTATATTTATTTTTTACCTAGTTAATATTCTCAATTGGCAATATAGTATTTTAATAAAATATATTATTGAGATAAACCAAAAAAAAAGCTACGCTACCTACATCAAGGTCCTTTTTATGTGCATGCATATATTGGTTGAGGAAAATTCAGCTCACTCTCTCTTATAATGTAATGGGCTTAATATTCTAACTCATGGTATCAGTGATTACTAAGTCATCAAAAGATATTTAAGCACATAAAGTAGGTTCATAACTAACAATTAAAACTCTTGGCCTAATAAGTGTATTTGATTTTACAAGTGATATCAGAGAATGTCACATGTTTAAATTTTGAGTGTTATTAGAAAATAGTTAGAAAAGACCTCACCAACGTTATTCTTTTTGAGTTGATGGGTTTAAATATTTTATTTCATCCGGCAATATTTTAACAAGTTAAAGGCCTCAAGATTTTCAGCATTGGATTCATAATTTATAGTTCAAACATCAAATATGTTTATAAAAATAACCTAATGAGTCAAGAGTTTAAACAGGCGAATCTTTTAAAAGCCATCTTGTTTAGGTCATTTTATTTATTTCTTTAAAAAATTGTTTAAGGTAGTAATATTTTGATATTTTATATTAATAATGATGTTACAAATATTTAATTGTTAGTCTTTTTTAAATTAAATTTTATGAAATGATTTAGTTTGTTTTGTTTTGGATCATAGTTTTGGTCCTCTGAGTTATAAAATATCACTTGATTTAAACTTTAGGTAATTTTTCTATTTATGTTATATGTGTTAATATTCTTGACAAAAGATTATTTTTATTTTTATATAACTAGTGATTTCATGATTTAAATTAGAAATTTATAATTTTTAATAATTTATTATTAAAAAATTTTAAAAAATGTAAAATGGTATGGGTTTGTGTTGATCGCTTGAATTTGACAAGTTAGATGATTGAGATTTTTAGATAAAATCATTTTTATATAAGTAAGTTATTCACGCCTAAAGTTACTAAGGGACAATTCGACCTACTTTCTCATTTTTATTTAAAATCTCTAATTTAATTATGATTTACTCATTTGATTTTAAATGTAATAACTAGTTAAGGAATTGATTTTAATACTAAATATAAAATTTTAACTTATTTTATTTATCATATTTTTTATTTTTAAACTAATTTATTTTGCGTATAGACTAATATATAATATGAGATGACAGATATATTTTAGTGAGGATATGTTACAATTTTTTTATTTATGAAAAGGAGTGTGTCACATTTATTAAAATTAATTAATTAATTAAATTTTTTAATTTATTCAAATTAGCTAAATACTGCAGACTCTTTCATAGGAACAGTAATATTCTTTGATTATATAAATCAAATTAAGATTTGCAAGGAAACTAATTTTTTTTTCCTAAAAACGCTAGAGTAAAATGAAATAAGGGAAAATCTCATGAAAAAATTTCAAATTATTAAATTTAAATAAAAATTGTTATAAAAATGTTGTTATTTGTAAAAATATTGTCAAAACTTATTAGAATGTATGAAGTAAAAAGTTTCTCCCATGAAGAAAGAGAGGCAATAAAGATGTTACAATATTAAAATAAACCTAACCATCAATCCTCAATTGCGTTAAAGGAAGATATTCTTCACATCCGCGTGATATTCAACCTTTCCCCCCTCCTTCTGCGGGCTTCCTTTTGTTGGAGAATGAAGAAGATTAAAAAGAGCCAAGGAAATTGATATTAAGGCACTGCGAGCCCAACTTTGTGCGCCGCCAATTTCTTGAAGGCAGACACTGAAAATCAGCCATGGATATTGCAATTAGACTGTAAGAGACTCTACTGCTCTTACTATCAATTTCTGATGATTTTCGTCGCAGTACCAAGGGGTGTCAACGCTCGTACCCTTGATCGTCTGCTGAGGTATATTCCAGCTCGGATCCTCCCCGGTTGTAAAATCCATTTCTTGAATTTCTCGGGAAATTCTTTCTTATCCCCGATATTGCTGTGAGTGTGTTTTCCCTGCTTATTGATCCCCGCAATGGTAAAGTTGTCCACTTGATTGTTATTGACCGTCTGAAATTGGGTTGCTGCGTAGCTTTATTTTGTAATGAATCTGGTTTTTACGCGAATTCGTCGGCGGTCGGTCTATCAAAGTTTAGCTTGTTTCAATTGTCTGAGTATTTGATTGGGTAAAAATGGTAAAGTCTTGTAGATGGTTTTGGGGAATTGGGTGTGTTTATTGAAGAAGAATGGGATAACATATTCAAAAAAGTGTTTGATGAGTCGGAAGATTATCAGGGGACGCTGGAATCTGTAATTGTCTCGGCTATTTCAACGGGCTGGACACAGCTTATCTCTGTTTCTGTTTCCTCTCATTGATTATTAAAAGGGAAAAATTTTATTGTTTCTTTGATGTACTGCAATATTTTGCCTTCAGGTGCTGATTTGTTTCTTCTGTTAACTTTAGTTATCATCGCTTTTCTGATTGTATGCAGAGTATTGCTGCTGCTGCTGCTGCTGAATAGGCTCATCAATGGTTTAGTCTATTAATATGATCAAAAGCACTGGAATGGCCAATTCAATAGACTGCTCTGAAGCCAGAGTGAAGAGAGTTGAGTTTCGAGGATCTAGTCGAATGTCAAAGAAGTTAAAAAGAACAATGTTGGCTTCTCATAAGGGAGATAATGATGCAGCAGAAAGCCAAGGTAGATTGGGTGATTTACCAGACAACCTGATCCACCATATATTGTCATTCATGGAAACGAAGGATGCAATTCGAACTAGTTTTTTATCAAGAAGGTGGAGGTATATGTGGACTTCAGTTCCCTGCCTGAACTTCAACAGCAAATCATTTTCAAGGCTGGCTGATTTTAAAAGATTTGTGAAGCGGGTCCTATCCCAACGTGATACTTCTCATATCAAAGCTCTGACTTACTGTCGCTTTGGGGTGGATTATGCAACGGATCAATCTCTATTGAATAAGGTTATTGAATTTGCAACTTCACATGGTGTTGAAGAAATCCGAATCAACCTTCGTGGGAAAAGCTCTGGTAGTCCTCCCATTGAAATCCCTTCCTCCCTATTTGCTTGCCGGTCCTTGAAAAGGATTGAGTTGAAAGACTGCCATCCTACAAATGTCCCACCATCTGTTGGCTGCAAATCATTGGAAATGTTGCATCTTGAACATTTTCCATTGCATCCTGGTCAAGCTAATTCTTCAAATCCATTTTCTAGTATACAGAAGCTTTTTGGTTTTACAAAGTTAACAACTTTGCATCTCAACAGCTTTACTTTAAGTTGTACAGGAACTGGCCGTCTGGATCCATTTGCTGATTGTGTAAATTTGAAGAATTTGCACTTAAGTGAAATTTGCTTCAAGTCAGATTTGAACCCGAGGGATTTTGTGATATCTGCACCCCAACTCAGTAACCTTACACTAGTGTGCAACCGTTTGAAATGTAAACTCGTAGTTGCTGCCCCGCAGCTTACCAATTTCAGCTACATTTACTCTTCTCCATGTGCCCTTTTTGACTTTGGTCTTCCTTCTTTGGATGACTTGACAATTGATATTCATGAGCTGCATGATCAATTAGAAATTTATCAACGGAGGCATAGAGAAGAGACTTTACATGGTTTCATCAATGTGCTATGGCGACACCATAATGTTGAAGCTGTTAAGCTATCCTTCCATACAGTCATGGTATAGAGAAAATTATTTCTCACATGTAGAGAACATTCTTTTGTGTGAGGCTGGTGTTAAGCTGCATGATCAATTAGTTTTGTTGTTAAAGGCTTTATTTTTATGCGTTTTCAGGCTACCTGTGGGGCTGCTGCCTTGCTAAAGTGTGAGGATTCATCTTTTATTAAGTCAAAGTCATTGAATTTAGGAGTGGGATCAACATATAAAATCTTCATTAGCGACGTTGACCGCATAACTGCCTACTATCGCAGTTTCTCTCAGCATACAGACTTTGAAATCTCAACCTTTTAAAGGTGATCAAGATTTACGTCTTTCATTAATATTTAAGTTATCTAAACTTTATGGCGTTAATAATAATAGGAATTAGATTTTTATACTTAGTCGTGTGCTTGTTACATCCCTAACTTTTAAATCCTCGTGCTGACTGACTTTGGATTTTAAGACAAAGATCTATGTCCAAAGCTTTTCCTTTGTGTTCATGCTTGGAAACACTGATTTGCCTGTTCAGAGTTTAATTAATATGCTCTCTATTTGCAGAATCTCAACTGCTCTCAGTAAATTTAAGAGAGTTTTTCTTGATATAGAAGTTATTAACAACCAAAAGTGTGCATTTAAGATAATTTATTTGACTTGCAAGCTTGGTGAAGATATATGGAAGAACTGATTGAAATTATGCTGTAACCATACATATCATCTGGCAAAAAAACCTGATGATGCCATTGATTTGGATCAATATTTTGAGCACACACACATTGGTTGGTAAGAATGTAAAGGATATGGTTAACAGTAAAGAGATGGACGGGGAATATTTGGACTCGTATATATTCTTTGGATTATGTTGATAGTTATAGTAAACTCTCAATTTGCTTGAAACTAAAGCTTTTTGAGTCCTACATGTCACCTAGTCGTCATGACAGGAAGGTGTTGGTGTTTCTTAATCTAGCGTGTAATTTTGTCTGAATTCATCTATGGCTGGGAAGGTGATGTAGAGTAACTTGATGCTTTAAGATGTGAAGTAGCATGACAGAGGCAGCAGAGCTGTTATTTAAATAAGCTTCACTTTAGTATACCGACCATGCTTATTTAGTACCTAGATTAATCATGAAATATGAAAATTTGTGCCTATTGTTCGGCAGTAAGATATTAAATTAATGATTATCATGAACTGATATGGATGGAAATCGGATATGTTAGTGAAGTTTATTGGATTTTGATGGACGTCATATCAAGAGAACTTGATAATTATGTATAAAACTCTGAATATCATGCAACGCAGGGATTAAGTTTGATCGATATAGGTGAATTGTGCTGCATTTGAATTGTGGTACTGATGACTTGACCTGTGAGCATTTTTGCAAAACACTATCTGCCCAAGAACACATCATTCAGCCTCATTTCATCTCCTTCTTCTTTAATGTTCTTGATGCAGAAAACAAACCCTGAAAAATTTTAATTTTGGGTAACTTTTTTTAGCGGCATTAAAAGCTGGGGAAGTGGAATCACACTTACAGAATGGCTTTGGTGTGTTTGATGGGAGAGTAATTTAGTATAATAAGGATATTATGATTGTTCAGTCTTGATAATGGATTTTGTTATTTAGAGTATCGAACTCACTTTTTTCTCTTGTTTTAGATGTTGAAACAGATGAGGAGAATCAGATGGACGTTAAACTGGATCCATGGAAAGTAAACAAAGATGAGTAGTGGGTACATGGTAGATTTTTAGTCACAGGATTGGGATATTCTGGCACAGGTGGTTTTATAGGATTTAGTTTTCACAGGGATAGGAAAATTTTAAATACTTTTTTCTCCTTTGTAAGTCTTGAATTGTAGTCAATACTTCAGTTAAATTCATAATATAGTCTTATTGTATTAATTTTTGTTCCGATATGTTGTAGAAATGTGAATTGAGTATCCTTTTTTGTTTTTATAGAAAGAACTCTGAGGGTATTAATGAATGAGAAATACCCGGCTAATTTGGTTATCGCAGAATGATTAATTCCTAGATTTTTGTGGAGTATGCATTAATAAATAAGAAATAAACGTAGTAATATAATGTTTATAAATATATTTTGCTTTTAATTTATCGTTCTTAGAACAGAAAGCAATTCAATTGCAGAATTTTTTTTCCCAGCAAATCAATTAAAAAATTAATTATACATCAATTATTCATCGCACCATGCACCAGGTATGAACGAAGTCTTTTTTGGGGTTATGTGCATTTCCGGTTTTTCTTTTTTTGTGTAAATAAAACAAAACACATGACATTCAGTAACATCAAGTTAGATTAAATGAGTGTTTGGATGAAATTAAAATCATGATTTTAAAAGTATTTTTATAATATACGAGGTAATTATATACAGGAGTTTATCTCAATTTACGAAAAAGTGTTTTTCAGAAGCACTTCTAACACTTCCCAAACACCCTCTACGTATTATCTGATCATGGCTATTTTCTGTGTTTTTTAATATTTTATTATAAACATCGTTGCACTCCATGCATTTTTTTATTTTCAATCATATAATTCGAATATTATTAATTAAAAAAATACTAACATTGAAATTTTAAATATTAATAAAATATTATTAAGTGCTGATATATTAAGTTTAAATTTCAAAAGTAATAATATTTGGAAAAAGCATCGTTTGAGATTAATCATCAGATTACGTTTAGAACAGAGAACTGAAAAAAAAAAACTTTAGAGAGAGAGAGAGAATGAGGAGAAAAAAAGGACAGAGTGAGATGAAACATAAACAGAGGCAGAGTCAGACGTAAACGAAAAATAAACGGTGGACGAGCTGGGGAGACTAAGGAGTGGTCGTTGATTCGGTGAGTTATTGGGTGACGCACCAATGGTCGTTACCTCAATTCGCCTTCCTTCTTCCCTCGCCTCTCTTTCTTCCCACACAATTCGATTTTCATGGCACAGATCTGCTACTTCACTTCCCTCCTATGCCCTTCCTCTCTTCCGACCTCCTTTCCAGGTTCGCCTTCGCTCCGGTAAGTTCCGCCTTTTTTACTTCTTTTATTCCTTTTTTTTCCCTGTATACAAATTGCAGTACTTTCATAGTAGCATTGCCCTTCGCTATTTGTACCGTAGATTTAAGGCTAATTATGACAGCCATTCTCAGGTTTGCTTATTCTGTATGTGAATTTCGATACTATTGCCTATATAGTTGACTGAGTTGAGTTGCTCGACATAGCAGTCATGTTAAATTATGTCTGAGTTTTATTTTTATGTTCAATTTCAAATTCTCTCGAACCTGCTGTTTCAGGATTTCGGATGACCAATAGGTGTCTTGAAATACTTTGGCTTCGATATTTGACCGTAACGAACGTTTTGTTGACTTCTTAATTCACCACAGTTTCTGCCGAGGAAGATTCTGAGGTGCAATTATCTGCTGATCAATCGGAAATGATATTCATGGGGACGGGAACTAGTGAAGGGATTCCAAGAGTCAGCTGCTTGACTAATCCTCTTAAGAAATGCCCGGTACAAACTTCAGAACCTTTGCAATGAAGCAAAGCTTCTTATTTTATGTAATGAGCCTAGAATTGAACGCCTTATGTTGAGTGTAGAATGTTTAAAGTGAAGTTTTTTTGGTCCTTACAGGTCTGTTCCAAGGCTACTGAACCAGGTAATAAGAATAGGAGACTTAACACAAGCATTCTCATTCGTCGACTAAGCTCCTCAGGAAGTTGCAATATTCTAATAGATGTTGGGAAGTGAGTAATAATATTTCCTTGTATATCATAATCACAAATCACAATACATTTGGATGAACTTTTCTGTGATTTCATCCATTTTAAAGCCGGTATAACGTGTGGTTTACTGATGGAATGATAGCTTAAGGTTTGAACCACAATGGAAAATTTTATTGCCATTAGATATCTTACCCCTCTAAGATAAAATGTTGCCTCCAACTCCTTTACTTTCTTTATTGTTAATATTATTACTCTGTTGTTATTGTTGTTACTACCAAGATTCTCCCAGAATAGTTATTAAACAAAAATTACTGAACAGTAAATGATAAATTAAATTATTGAATATGAAGTTACTGCTCAGGCTTGGTCACAATTGTAAAGATCTGATACTGTGGTACATTCATCAAACATACCACCATAAGTTTTACTGTTTACTTCACAATTCACGTATATCTGTGGAATACTTCTGGATCACTTAGAATAATAGGCATTGTTGAGTTTCAGTTATTTCCTTTGGGATAGACTGATAAAATTTTGTCGCCTGAGTTTCCTATTTATGATGCGTGATAAGAACTAGAGCTATGGATATGATGGAGCTTCTCTAAGATAGGGTTTAGGTTCACTTGAATATTTCAATAAAAATAGGATATAGTTGTAACATGTGGGCACTGGCATTGCCTATTCAAGAAAAAGATTCTGATCGACTCATTTAGCTAACCATTAATTTTCTGAGGACAAAATTGTTTTTGCTATGAAGAAACCTAACTGCATATATGTTGTATATATTGATAATAAAATATTTACTTGTTATCATGCAGATTTTTCTATCAGAGTGCTCTTCGATGGTTTCCTACATTGGGGTTAGTTCTCCTGTTAAATCCTTCAGCATTTTTCTTTCAACATTTTCAGTAGGTTATAATCATCACTGTTTGACTATTTTTTGTTGCCAAGTTATAACAGACAGTTGTATTCCTATAAAACAAAATAAAGGCTTAATTTTGAGGAGGATTCATATTACATTGTTTAAGAGACAAAACTCCAAGAAATATGCTACATGTTTCCTGCCTATAGTAGTGCCAGCATTTCTTTTTCCATCTTTTTGTTTATTTTCGGGACAACCTATTGATTACTGGAAAGCTTAAAAAATGTGGAGTGTATTGTTCTCTTGCGAGTTTTATTGTATTGTGAATTTCTGTTTTTGCTTCCTTGCTCTGAAACTAGTTGTATTTCTGTCAGGATAAGAACACTTGATGGGGTTGTTATCACTCATTCCCATGCTGATGCAATTGGAGGTCTCTGACATGAACACTATCAACAATTATTTCTGACAATGTTAAATCTCATTTGAATTAATTAGTAACCTGATCTATTATGTTGATCTAAAATCGCCTTCTTTCTTTTCCTCAGGTCTTGATGATCTTCGAGATTGGACAAACAACGTTCAACCGTCTATTCCAATATATGTAGCCGAGCGTGACTTTGAGGTCCTTATCAAAATTGTCCCTTCACTTGCTGCTAATCATCTGCTCGTGCAAATAATTGGTTGGGAGGTGTTAGAATTAGAATCCTCATATATCCGTGCACCATGTTTAAGGAAATTAAGGCATTCCCATAATCAGTTCTCAGAGGGTAGAGCCACTAATAGATGATCGTGCGACCTTCTATTAAGCTAGTTTCTAAAAGCTTACTGCAGTTTTGTGGCTATTGGCAGTTGGAATTACACATATCTCTATTGTAGAAAAGGAAAATAAGTTGCACGAGAAATTTTTGAACCTCTTCCTTCTCATATATTTTAATTTTAGGGTGAAGCTTGATTTCCACGTGTATTATCTTGCCCCTGATTTTTGACACCCCTCATTCTTTGGGATTTGAAATGTTTTGTGTTACTCTCTTCATGTCTCTCTCAGTGTTGTTCCAATTACTGTTTTCATGCAAATTCTGGTGGAATGAAGGATGAAAGCTTTTGACTTTAATCTTCTAATGATCATTACACTTATTCACTATTTGTTAGTTGAATGAGAACTGTTGAAATGTGCTCTCTTGTGAATCTAATCACGTCTTCATTACTAAATATGTGCAGGTGATGAAGAAGACACATTATTATTTAGTAGATACAAGTGTTGTCATCCCTGGTGCTGCAGTATCAAAGTTGCAATTTAATATCATATCAGAAGAGCCATTTTTTGTGCATGGATTGAAGGTCAGAACTAATATCAATCTAATAGTCTGAAGTGAGTTTCAGTATTTTTCGTGTTCTGGAGTCTATTTTGCTTACTTTATTGCTCAACCAATTACTTCCTGATATTGTTCCTGAACAGCGTGTGACTTGTCTCTTATATTATCGTTTTCTTGTATTATTGTGTTCCAGATTACTCCTTTGCCAGTGTGGCATGGCCAAGGTTATCGTTCCCTTGGTTTCCGTTTTGGGGATGTATGCTACATTAGGTAATACTTCTTAGAAGTAGCTGAAAGTAGAGCTTTTCTGTCAATAAAGTTGAGCTAATCCTATACCTACCATTGCAGTGATGTTAGTGACATTCCTGAAGAAACCTATCCACTTTTGAAGGACTGTGAAATTCTAATTCTGGTGCCTACCCTCTCATCGAACATTCATAAGCTTCCATTTCACATGAAAGAGAAAAAAAGTAATTTTTTTTTCTTGGGTTATTGTGCAGGATGCTTTGAGGCCTGATCGCTCTAGTTCCACACATTTTGGACTTCCAAGGGTAATTTCTTTCACATGCGTTAAATCTTTCTTAAAGAAACGTAGTTTATTTCTGGTCTCCCCATTTCAGGCCATAGAGGAAGTGCGAAAAATACAACCCAAGAGAACATTGTTTACTGGTAAGTTTGGGTTATGCTCCATATTTAGCATATGACTCAGGCATACAGCAAACATGTAAGAAACTACGTGTTTTATTTGGGGGGGGGGGGGAATCTTCTTTTAGTCTCTTCTATGCCCTGATTTTCCTATGAAAAGTAGTTCGGAAAATAACTTATTTCTCCTTATTGGCGATTGGAAGGTATGATGCATCTGATGGATCATGAAGAAATAAATGGCTATCTGGCAAAATTCATGGAGTCTGAGGGTCTTGATATACAACTGAGCTATGATGGGCTTCGAATACCAGTAAAACTATAGCGTACACACTCATTTGAGTTCTTATTTAGAGATAGGACTAGCTACCGGCCTAAGCATTTTTTTTTTTTTAGGCCTATCCAATAAAAAAGCGAAATTGTTAGAATGAGGCTGTAATGTAGGATTGTAGGTCAATGCCTGGACTCTACAAGAATGAATAAAAAAAATAGGGGGAAAAACGGATGAGTATACTTTCTGGTAAATACCCATTATTTTGGTTATGGTGGATGATTTGTTACAACTCTTGACGACAAAGATGTCGTGTTGGAGAATTGAATTTTATCATTCTGGGACTCTGAAAAAGGTCAAGACATGGTACTGTTATAGAATTATAGTGACAATCAAATGTGAAAAAAGGTGTTTTATCCCCAAGTGCCCCGCTCTGTTAACGTAATTTGAGTTTGGAGCTTATAGTTTAAGAACGAATCTTATGCTATCAGCTTGAGTTGGATATTCATGCCGCCATGTTTGTTCTTTTTACCTCGAGGGGGTGTGATGGGATGAAAAATTTGAACGTAAGAAGTGGTCCTAAGTCTTAACTACTAACGATCTTAATCACACACTTCTAATGGGGACGAAAAAAAAGCGAAGTATTTTCATTTTAATATATATATGTACATATTTATTTTTTAGGTACATTTTATTTATTTATTTTTGTTGTACCAAACATTTTTTAAAGAATTGGCGCATCTCGAATAAACAGATTTTAAAGTTGATGAACAAAGCGGCCTATTTTAAAAATTCCACGCGATACACAGCTCACATTCTAATTTATAAATATGGGACGCTTAGGGCTACAGTCTAATTTATAACTACGCGACACTAATTGATTTGGTGCACAAATTGATTATCATTCAATATATTCAATATTTTTTTTAAAAAAAATGTAATTTAAAAATCTAAACATCTAAAATTTGTCTTATCTCCGTCGGTATCAATTGCAATGTTTATCTGCCATATGCTTGATAGGAACATTGGCTCAAGAGGGAAAAGATGTTAGTCATGATCACAAATTGGAAGATGAAGTCATACTTCGAAGACTTTTATTCTGGGAGGCCAGAGGAAGTCATACAATCATATCATCTCAGTCTTGGCACGTTTCCCGCCCAGATAGTTCTGATGGCCTGCTAGCTGTGAGGGCTTCAGTGGCCAGTGGTCATAGCGAGTGGCAAGGGATAAGCTTCTTTGATCCTCGTCGATCTCAAATAAGCAAAGAAGAAATTTCATATCCTTCATATAAAAGCTTATTTAATTTTTTTAATCTAAATATAAAACTCTAATTTATTTTATCTCTTATATTTATTTATTTTTTTAAATTATTCATTATAATAATGGTAGTTTTAGTCAGTACACTTGATTAGTAATAATATTTTAGGAAAGTTTATACCTATTTATTATAAATAACTAATTTAACTAATTTTTTAACCTATTCAAATTAGTTAACTAGCTTTTATATTAAGAACTGAAGATAGTAGCATTTTCTTTTTTAATAGATATATATGTATTCTCTTATGAAAACTAACCTTCTTCAAAATATTGTTAGATACTAAGTACAGAACAGTTTGCAAGTTGATCGGAGTGGCACCCTCAGCTCCAACAATTATGTGGAGGTGAATTTTTATACTTTTTAATTAAGAAACAATTTAATAGATGTAGATAAAAATTTATTTGCAACTAAATCGTATAGAACTCCCCAATAATTTGATAATTTCAACGACTTTTATCATGCATATTTTCTTAACTGTAGAAACAAATAATTATAAAAAAATAATTTAAAAAATTAATAGGGGCGTCAGCAGAAGAGAAAGGATGACTGAAAAGGAATTTTGCCGCCCTTCTTTGTTTTGATAACGAAGTCCCCATCAGTGGTGCCTGCCAGATTCTCAATCCCTTGCCCTCCGCAGCATCTGTCCCACATCACCCAATCATCCCCTGACACGTCAACAACGATCTCCCGCCATATTAATATTCTCAATTTAAATATTAAAATTTATAATGAAAATCCATCTCAGCGGTGGGGATGTGACTGGGACTTGTGATGATCGTCCCAACGTTTTCAACTAGCAATCATATCTTTGCCGTACTCGTGGTCATCGCGTCTTCACCAGACAATTTTATTCCTCAAAAACTAATTTAAGTAAATGACAGTAAAAATTAATGAAATTCTTTTAACAAAATTTTCTCGCGTAATTTTTTCGATTATTATATGCTTTTGAATAATAAATTAATTTTATAGTTAGGGACTTTTCAACAACTTTGTCAAATCTAATCATATATATATTGAAATGATTATTTGATTACGTCAAATTCGAGCATTATTAGACTCAACTGGGACATAGTTCTTCTAAATATGAGTTTTATATTTTTATATCATATAGTGTTTGCAATTTATAAATATTAAAATATATTATAAATTTGAAATTATACTTGACATATTGATGATATAATAATATCAATATAAATACATTTCTTTATTAAATATTGTGGTATTAACATTTTAATAGAAAATATTGATGATGATAATGATAGAATAAAAGACTGAGGCAACTAAATTTTGAAAATGATAATGTGTGGTCCCACGAGCGGCCGATCTGCCACGCCCGTGAACTCGAGGACATCGCTCGCCATTGTTCCTCTCTTCTCACATTAAATTGTTTTTTTACCCTTTTTTTTGGGTGTAATTGTCATCCCGTTTTCTGAATAAAATTAATTAGGAAAAAAATACATCAAGTGGTATTGCGTGGATGTATTATTTTCCTTCTTCTTTTGCCTCATATTATATGTTTTTGGGAAGAATATAATATTCATATTTTAATTCAAATATAGGAAGTTGGATGTATTTTGGAGAATGATAATAATGGTACTACCTCCGGTCTTTAATATAAAATCTCGTTTGACTTTTATTTTAATCCTAAATATAAGATCATAATCTATTCTATCTCTTGTATTTATCTGTTTTTTTAAGATAGTTCTTTTAATAGTGATAGTTCCAACCAATACACTTAATTAATAAGAATTTTTAAGAAAGAGAATAAGTATTTATTATAAATAACTAACTTAATTTATTTTCTTAATCTCCTCAAATTAGTTAAAGAGTTCTTATAATTAGTGGATGAGGTATTATTATTTATGAGAGAATCATTCTACTTCTAGAATTCATCATTCAAGCCATCCAACCAATTACGAGTACTCTCCTTTTGTTGACTTTTTACCTGTCTCCTACTATTTTCTTTCATGCCTCAACGCTTCATACTCATCATAATCGCTACATAACAGTCAACTGCATACTCCACAATTTTCCCAATTACAATGACCTTCAATTTATTTAATTTATTGTTGTATTAAAACAAATATATTATTATATGTATTATATATATATAATGGGAGTAACCGAGATGAGATTACTTGTAGTGGATGTGTTGTTATATAGGGAAAGATAAGATTCATAAGAAAAAAAGAAAAAAATTAAATGACTCCTACTTTAAAGTGAAAATAACAAAAAATCGCTTGGGATACTCTGGTCATGTTCAAAGAAAGCTATTAGATGTGCTGGTGAAAAGGGGTGATTAATCAATATTGAGTTCTTTGAAGAGGAATGGAAGAAAACTAAAGAGAATACTCAATAAAATGATCGAGTAAGATCTATTAATTAACAATTTATCAAATCTCGATGTACTATACAATTATGAGTTCACTTCGTTAGGTAAACCTTTATTATGGTTGTTGTGTACGCACACTTATACATACATAGACATGTATGTTACAAATATAAACTCTTTTTAGGGATAAAGAAGACAATTTGATATCTAAAGAAAATAAAATTTTTGCAAAAGTTTATGTGTAAGTGCAGACAACAATTTTGGTTTTCTGCAGAGCATACTCTCTATTGAGTGATGTGGGTACCTATATATCTCTCTATCTAGGTAAAAGAGATCAAGTAATTACCTAAAAGAAAATTGAAGTTCAAATTGAATTCCTTACTGATGCAATTTTGTTAAATTATTAGGTTTTTATATTTTTTAATCATAAGCATTAGTCTTTATATTTATATCATGTGAATTTAAATTGATGTGGAATTGTGGATGCTCATTAAGTAAGATATGAATTGTCATAAAAATTGAAATAAAAAAGTAAAATGATGAAACAAGATTTATTTATTATTACTAATACTCGTCTTCTAACATCTATACAAGTATTCTTTAATGAGAACTCTAGTAAATAAACATTATATTGAAATAAACCCCTTTTCTTCCCTTGTAATTACCGTTGCTTAATCACAAAACCGACTAATTAACTTGAAATGATGAGAAGTGAAAGATCAAAATGAGACCCCACGATGTGAGACAAAAATGGGAAGGCAAAATCATAATTGAAAAACGAGCTTTAAAAGAAAGATAGATTTGGTATCATTGAAGGAGTTGAAGCCATTGATTAGAGTACAAATTATAATTATTAAGTTTTACAAAAACCATAGGCTTTAACGTACACAATATAACAAAACATATAAATTTTGTGCTGCCTTTTTCCTACAATGACTGCCCCTATAACAGTTCTTTTACTGTTCCTTTGCTTTCATCTTCTACGTGGTTGTTTTATTTCTTAATTTGTTTTTTAATTAATGACTACGTAGTTATTAATTAATTAGCTAAATTAATCAAATTGTTGTGCATGATTGAGATAAAGAAAAGTGATTAATTTTAATTTGCACATATAAGCGTGTTCGCCTCCATCTCCACTTCATCTAGAATAATTAGTATTTAATTAAGACAAATAAAGAAATTAAGCGTGCTCCAAAAAGCATATTTACTTACAACGTATACTGAATATTATTTTGAGTCACCATCGCATTATTAATTATATAAATCAAAACGTACGTAATGCTCTAATCTTTTATTAATTGCAGAGTCCTCATACAATGACTATTTGAACTTTAATTACTAGCAAAATCCATTGGTGTGGAATAATGAAAATAATCTATACAATTTCAAGTCTTATTTTATATTTTCATGCACGAAAGCCAGGTATAACAAGTCATATATCAACATTATTATTTACTCAATGGGTGAAGCACTACTGGACCAAAACTTTGTGAATTTTTTTCTGACCAAAAAAATTTGTAAATTAAACGATAAATTTCATTTCTTTAACTAAGATTTTTTATGTTTGTATTATCAAAGAAGTGTGGACGATTTCATTAATTTTTATTTGTTTTTCTTTGCCACCAGCAAACAATTTCATTACTTTAACTAAAAATAAATATGCACAGATTTAAGTAAAATGTAATTGATATTTAAGTTTTTTTTTTCAAAGGAATGCGAACTCACTATATATATAATGACAAATGATGGTTTGATGGCAGAAAGACAAGATTTTGCAAATAAACTTTCACTCACAACTTTTATAAACAAACTGTAGAATTACACTTATAGTTTATAATCTTGCTTTGGGATATGACTATGATATATAATCACACAGAGATGAGCTGGTACATGAGAGCACATTGAGACTATGGCTATTGCAAGATCCCCATTTTCAAAATCTTAATCATTGAAGAATAAAACAAGAAAATGACAAAACCTTAGCATTTTTTTAAAACAATTTCATTCATGGTCCAGGCAACACCCGAGCTCATCGAAATTTGAACAATTTAATTAAGATTATATATGTATACATATGTACCTCAGCCAATAGCCACAAACTTCTTAAACATTTCGTATTATATATATTTATATATATATATATATATATATATTGTTGTGGTCCACTAGTACGCTAGCTAGTCTTAAATAATATTTGCCCCTAATTTTCCTCCTTTTTTTTAGTGATTGGAGATAGCGTGCATGGCGGCATCCTATGCTGCTATACATATATATAATTCATAATTTTTTTATGTTCTTAAGATGTGATCTCTTAACCTGTGTGTTTTTTTAAAATTTTTTTTTAAAAAAGTTCTTGTGTTTGTTTGACCAAAGACCTGGCCTTTTGATCTATACTATCTAGAATATGGAAGCCATGCATTTATATAATATGTATATATGTATGTATGTATATTTCGTTCGTTAACTGGGCTTTTAGCTACGAAGTCGTCAATTTTGTTTGCATTGAAATATTGACCTGGCCATGCATGGAAATATTAACACCAAGATCTTCTAAAACTAAACAGTTTTTAACTCTCTATAGTGCAGTGATATTGATTTAATCGGTAGATAACAAAGTTGATATAGAAAGAATAATTATCACGATCGGTGACATTAGTTAACTAATATCTCGTTCATCATTTTCTTAACGAAAACTTTTATGAATTTTCAAGGTTGTGACAGTGTCATCAATGTATAGTTTGAAAGTGATATAGTGAGGATTATGAAGTGAAAATGACAGGGGAGACAAAATTTGTGCTTGTTAAAGATACTGTGGTTAATGAGAAAGATATAGATAGAGAGAGAGGGAGAGAGGGGAGAGAAATTAGGTCATGTTCATATTGCCTTTTGTGGTCGCAGAGCCTTACAAGATCTTATTTGTTTACACTTTTAATTTCAAAGAACCATGCAACATTGTCAGAAATTATCAGCTTTTTGAATGTGCAAATAGTTCAATGATAATGAAATGAACGATGCAAAAGAAACTATATAGTATTGATATAATAATAATGCAGAGCTTAATAGGAAAAATATTAAATTAATTAAAGCTTTTAACAATGCCTGCTTGAGAGCTTAATCAATGGATCAATCATGTCGCTGCTTGCTGTAGAAACCAGACAAGACTAGATAAAGTTTCTATTACTCATCATTTATGTTAAGCAAATCCCAGAGGAGAGATAACCCCTTTTTGTTTTTTTGGTTTCATAATAATTCATTGAAATATATATTTTCTCAGGAAAATTTGTATTCATAGAAAATTTGTGAAATATTTTTTTTGAGAAGAACAGGTGTTATATTTTCTCTGAAAAATAACAAGTGGACTTCTCTCTCTCTTCATCTCTCTTCTCTCTCTCTCTCTCCCCTCTTCCTGTCTTTGTCTTTCTCCATCCCTCGATCTATCTATCGATAATATACAAATGAGACTCTCTTTTTACATGGTTGCTTTTTTTTTTTTGGCCCCTTTTTTCTGCTTACTTTACGAGAGAGATTGGGAAAGGTGAGGGTGGTATAATTAAGCAAAAGGTGTTCGCAAGAAAATAAAACTTTAATCTGGTAAAAGCAAGTATTATAACAATAAAGGAAGAAAAGAAAAGATTTTCTTCCCTTTTTTTTTTTCTGGGGTTGAGAAAGAGAATGGAGGAAAAGACAGAAAGTGCAACGTCAGAGTTAGCCGTAGGGTTCCCCTTGGGCTGTGGTTTTAGGCATTGTTTTGGACTGAGGGAATCCTCCTCCTCATCCACACATCTCTCTCTCTCTCTCTCTCTCTCTCTGAAACTTCAACTTCAAACCACTGGGGCTGTATTTTTGTTCATATTTGCGTGGCTATCCTTGGATTTTCTTGGTATTATCAAGGATGGTTTTCTAACCACCATGAAGGAGAAAAGCGGCTAGCTGCAGGCTACATATTAGACCTTCTCTGCTTCATCAGCTTCCAGTTTTTTCTTTATCATCTCTCACTCTTGTTTCTTCTGCTCTTTCAACAAAAAACTAAACCTTGTCTCTTGGGTTGCTGCCAAACATACAAGCAGGAAACAAACACCATCAAGGTTTTATAGTGGGAGGATAATTGTTTGCTTGCTTGGTTACTCCAAAGAGTTACTATTTTTTTATCCACTTCTCTTCTTTCTGCGGTTTCAAAGACTCTGTAGAAAATTTCCCCTTTTGTTCTGCTCTCTCTCTCTCTCTCTCTATCTCAGCAGTATATGCAGAATCTTATAGCAGTGTAACTTTTTCATTTTTCCGTTTTGAGTGAGGGTTGTGTGTCCTTAGATCCTAGAAAGCCATATAACATAGGGAAAACCAAGATCTATATGGCCAATAACACAAGCCTCGGATCCAAAAAATTCCTGGCATAAGAAAAATATGATTAAGGGTTTGATGTTTCACCAGCAACAGCAACAAGTAGTAGTGGAAGAGAACATGTCTAATTTGACTTCTGCATCTGGTGAGGCCAGTGTTTCCTCAGGCAATAGAAATGAAATTGGTGCCAATTATCCTCCACAACAATACTTTGCTTCACCACCAACTCAAACGACTCAGCCCGTCAAGAAAAAGAGAAACCTTCCTGGCAATCCAGGTTTAATATATATCTTATTTTCAGAACTCTAAACCAGCGAATCTCATTTCTTTTGGGTTGTTTCAATCAAAATGGTTTTTTTTTCCTTTATATTTTTTATTCCTGATGTTGGGTCTTCAATCATTCAGACCCAGATGCTGAAGTTATAGCCTTGTCTCCCAAGAGTCTTCTGGCAACAAACAGGTTCATCTGTGAGATCTGCAACAAAGGATTTCAAAGAGACCAGAATCTTCAACTTCATAGAAGAGGGCACAATCTGCCGTGGAAGCTGAAGCAGAGAGCAAACAAAGAGGTGAGGAAGAAGGTGTATGTATGCCCAGAAACCACATGTGTGCACCATGAGCCAGCAAGGGCACTTGGGGACCTAACTGGGATAAAGAAGCACTTCTGCAGAAAGCATGGAGAGAAGAAGTGGAAATGTGATAAATGTTCCAAGAGGTATGCAGTTCAATCAGATTGGAAAGCTCACTCCAAGACCTGTGGCACAAGAGAGTACAGATGTGACTGTGGAACCCTCTTCTCAAGGTAACTAACTAACCTACCCAAGATCACTCTTCTAGGAATGACAATAGTCAGCCAGACAGACATCTATCTATCTTCGTTTATGATTTTCATGGGATTTGAAGTTTTCAATCCGAGGTTGACTGAAATGAATGACTCCACATATATCTTCTTTTCTGGTATTTGAATAATAAATTCCCGTTCTTTATGTCCCTTGACTTTGGAAAAAATGATGGCATAATTATGATACACACTAGAACCATGGACGCAGATACTGGAAGTTTTTGGAAGAATTAATGAAAAGTTTTTAATGAGCTACCTAATGTGAACAATCTGCCTTTAAAGCGCTCTCAGAAAGAAATAAAAAAGGCGATGATGCGCGCACAGAGAGAGAGAGAGAGAGAGTCATATTTATTCTTTATCTTTACATCGGAGAAGATGATAGATGATTAAGGTACACTAGGCAAGAGATCCAGAAACTGGGAATTTTTAGATCGATGGAAAAGTCTTTGGCGTGTGAAAAAAGGTGGACATGTACACAGAGAAAGAGAGAGAGTGAGAGAGTCAATGCTTTGTGATCTGTCGTACAAAGCACTTGCCAGTGTGGTGAGCAATTTTCTTATTTTGTATTTTTGTGTGTTGTTTAATGGCTTTTTTCAGGAGAGACAGTTTCATAACACACAGGGCCTTCTGTGATGCATTAGCAGAGGAGAGTGCAAGATCAAATCCACTTCTTCATTCCCAACCACCCAGTGCTTCATCATCAGCATCTCACATACTGAATCTCCAAACCCAACTCAATAATGATCCCCAAGGTCTCCATTCTTTACAACTAAAGAAAGAGCATCAGCAAAGCTTCAACCTCCGGCCAGAAATGCCCCCTTGGCTAGCCTGCCCTCCTCCTCCAGCTCCTGGTCCATCCACCATTGATCTCTCTTCCCCATCATCATCTTCAATCTTCTCCACAAGATTCGACCAGGACTTTTCACGAACATCTCACGGGCAAGATCTGAGCAGTATCCATGAAAACCCTAACCCTACTAGCCTTGGCCCCACCCTCCCTCCTGCCTACCAACCAGCGCCTTCCCCGCACATGTCAGCAACAGCCTTGTTGCAGAAAGCAGCACAAATTGGTGCAACCATGACCAAAACTGGCTCCTCCAATACCACCCCAGCCGTGATTAGGACCCACCATCACACTCGCGTGCCTCTTCCTGCTTCTGACTCTTCTGCTGCTGCCACCAATTCAATCTCAAGCAGTGGTAATTTTGGTTTGAATTTGGCATCACGTGAATCTGCAGTACTACTCTCTCCTTCAGCTTCTTCTGCTACTGCTAGTACTGTGCCTGCTGCTGCTTCTTCCTCAGGTGTTCCTCCTCCTTCTTCCCCCTTTCTTCTTCATGATGTTATGAGTTCTTTCTCTGGTACTTCTGGCGGTGCCGGGTTTGAAGGAACGTCTTTTGAGGATGCTTTTGGTGGGATTTGGAACTCCAAGAATAATAAAGACGGGAACTTTCTTGATACCCTTACAAAGACAACCACCCCCGCCGGACATCTTAGTGGAGCCGGCGATGACGGTGGTGGAAATGAAGGTTTGACGAGAGATTTCTTGGGTCTTAGACCCCTCTCTCATAATGAGATTCTCAGCTTTGCTGGAATTGGAAACTACATGAACCCGACCTCCCATGATCAGCAGAAACAATCCCAGAAACCATGGCAAGGTTAGCTCCAACATACATATATATATGGGGATATTCTTCCTTTTTTTTCATCAATATATAATTTGAATTTTTTTCTATATCTTATTTTATCTGTGAATCTTCCCAAAGGGAAGTAAGAGTAGAACTAGAAACCCTTCACTCTCCCAAGATTTTCATTCCTTCATCGAGGTAAGTTATTTTTAAATTAATTTGCTTCATTTTAGTGTTTGTACGTAATTTCATATTCTGTTTGTAGACTAATAATATACAAAAGGCCAAACATCTGCATAGGCTGTTCATTATCAGAAGGCACAAAACCCATATTATTGATATCGTCGGCTTAAATGGTAAAAACAAGTCACATTCACAAAGATGAGACTTCTTTTCCTATTTTCCTACGATCCGATACAGTACGCGGTAAGTAAGAAAAAGACTAATTACGAAAAATGATTATTATTTATGGATTTGTGGATGGAGTAATCAGGCGGTTTTTTTTAGTCATTCTTCGTTTAATAATTATATTTGTTTCACCGTCCCATTCAATTTGGGATATTATATTAAGATTACAGTACTTTGTTGGGAACTGAGATTAGAATAATATAAGAAGCCCTTGTCACTGTGTCTTCTCTCAAAATTTACCTTGAAGAAAGCAGACTGACGTTGACGCTAATAAGATGTAAATAAAATACAGAAATTCATTAATCAAGCTCAGATTATTAGCGGCATGAACTGACCTGAAAGAATTAGACCACATAAACAGTAAAGTGGTGAGATTATATCTTTTTTGGGTACAATTATCTTTTTATTAGAGATAATTCTATTTGAAACACTGTCGGGTACTAAACATAGATATCTATGGAGATTTGAATCTTAATTCACTATTTTGTGAAATACTAGTTTTTCTAAATTAGAACTAACCGTGTTGGTAAGTAATGAGATTATATTGTTAAATTATAATTAAATTAAGGACTTGCGAAAATTTCAATTTCACTTCGTAGACTATACTATTGTGGCGACTGGTGAGAGAAGTAATATTTTCGTCATGCGTTTGGACGTCAAGTAATCTCCAATATTCAGGGCTTTGCATGAAAAGTGTACACACACACACACACATAGAGGCTGAGGGATAGATTTTCATAGTAAAAACTAAAACATTGTTGATATATTTTTATTTCTTTAATAAATATATGTTTTTTATTTTAATTTTTGAATAATCCAAATCTAATATGAATAAATTTAAAATGTCAACTAAAAACAATCACTTTGATGTACTGATGAAGTCCCATTTTCCCCATCCAAAAGAAATCTAAGTGTGTATTTGGTACGAGGAAAATGGAGGGAAAGGGAGGGGGAAAATTTTAACGAGCATGTTTCAAAAAATTGAAGTAGAGTTGTAAAATTTTAATAAAAGAAATATATAAGATATAAGAGTAAAAAAATTAATTAAAAAATTTTAACCACACTTCTTTAAATTTTTAAGGTGAGCTCATTAAAATTTCTCTCTCTCTCTCCCCTTCTTTTTATTTTTCGCGTATCAAATGGACCCTATAATTCTAAATAATGTCCCTTAAAAAGCCACATGTGCTTTTACACACACATCAATATTTTCATCCTCCTTGTCTCTCCTTCCAATCATCAATTACAAGTTTTGAAGAGTTGTTAAACATTTTTACATTTGACTATTTTTCTTAATGTAATGGAAATTGTTAACAAAGTCTTTTATAAATGATCGATCAGATCAAGTATATATTTAAAGGGTTATTATTTGTTAATAAAATATAATGATATAGTGTAATTTATATAATATACTTTATATATCTAATGTGACAGAATTAATTAATGTCCTTTGCTAAAAAAAAAAGAATTAATTAATGTCCTCCCTTGTATATAGATTAATTAAACCTTGTTACTCTTAGCTGGTTTGTTTTTGCTTTCTGCCTGAAACATTAATTCTCTCTAACAAATCAAGAGACATTCTTATCCGTTTGCATATACATCGGAACCTGTCCAAAATTATAACCAAAGGTACCAAACGCATATACTCTATCTCTCTGCATTGACTTAGACGATGCCCACACACATATAAATATGCATATGTTACTTCAATTTTAGTGAACAAAAAAATGTTTTTTTAAATACATATAAAGTTAGAAATTATTACCTCCGGTTCTTAATATAAAACCTCGTTTTAATTTTATTTTGGTCATAAATATAAGACCTTAATCTGTTTTGTCTTTTTTATTTATGTATTTTTTTTTCAAGATAGTCTTTCTAGTAATGGTAGTTCTAGTCAATATACTTGATTAGTAAGGATATTTTAGAAAAGACAACATCTACTTATAACAAATAACTAACTTAACTCAGTTTCTTAATCTCCTCAATTAATCAACCAGCTCTTATGATTAGGACCGGAAGTAGTATAAAATAATAAATACGTGGAAGTGACGATATGGGTAAAAGATAGTTTGGTCTACGTTGGGATGCACTTGAACCCCACTTGGTCTCCCTCCATATAGACATTTGCAAACACCACAACCTAACCACACATGCAGGCAACATTTGCTTTTCATTTTTTGTTATTTTCCCCCAAAGAATGATTGTAACTACTGATATTTTATTAATTATTCAATTATTATTGCCAATAAAAAACCATTAAAAATGTATAACGTTGGCATACGATAAATTATTTTTCTTTTCCATACCTAACGAAAGGCTTTAAAGTGACAAGATTTACATCAAAATATATGGCAGTGTTCGATTATATATGGGAATCTACAAGCTTCAATTTAAAGTTCTCAATGGGATGCATCATTAACTAATAACTATATTAATGAAATGCATATAAATAAATACAGTATGAATATTATATTAATTTAACGTAGTACATGATGTTAGATCGTTGGCAGGAAATCACCTATGTCCAAAATAAATGAAATTGAGATGTGATCCAACGCTTCTAAAAGTGAAAAACAAGTATAAGCTTGGGAGAAACATTAATGTGTACGCATGCACGAATTGAGCTTTCCGTTTTAGATATAACGAGGTCTCACAAATTTAGTGATGAAATATACTCTCCGGTCCTAAATATAAGACTCCTTTTGTAGTGTAAATTACACTACAAAAGGGTCTTATATTTAAGAATTGAGAGTATATTCTATTTTCTACATTTTGTTACTATAAAAAGGTAAAAAAGAAAGTGAGCTCGAGGACTTAGCTTAAGCTGCGCATCATAACTCTATATATATATATATATATATATAATATTTAGGTTAAGTTGCTCATATCCATAATCATTTGTTCACACCAGCATACCATTAACCTTGAACAGAAGAAGAAACTAGAAAGCCATTTGGACGTGCATGTTTTTCCTTCTTGAAAAATAATTGCATATGAATTTACAAAAAAAAAAAAAAAGAAAGAACACAACACCAATCCAAATATTCTAAGTTTGGGCCCCATTGTAACAAGTATTCTTAAAAAAACGGCCCATTTCAATAAATGTGTACCAAAAATTAGAAGTTTTATTTCAACTGTGTTGGTATTGTTTCCAGTAGAATTGTCTCATATACAGTTTGTCTAACTAATATTGAAGTATACTTCCTGAGTAAATGCTAGTTTCAGGCAAGACATCCAATTACTGGCCTGATATATCATGACTTAAAACCAACGCTGCTAAATCAAGATCGAAACTTGCAGAAACTTTCTAGTTCGTTACCAGTGGCAGAAACTTAGAAGTTCTTAGAAAGGTTCATCTCTGTTCATATCAGACCCATCATCAAATGCATATTTTTCAGTTTTCAAAAAACAAGACAACCGAAATCTCGATGAAAGATTCTCCCAATTCACTGATCCCAATGCAGCAATTAATTTCCATACGCCGACACAAACGTCTTGGAAACAGTACTTCTACGGAATTTCCGAGCTGCTTCCTTCGGCGCATGACCGTTGACTTGGGTCTACTCCAGTTGGTCTATGGGCCTTCATTCTCTAATGCTTAAAATTGCAAGACAATCATGTTGTGGGTTGATACATTATAGCTTGAGACCAACGTAGCTGAATCAAAGATTGAGACTTGCAGAAACTTAGTTTATTAACAATGGCAGATGTTACGTTTATTTGGGATTTAGTGAAAGAAGCTATGGCCATTGTGGGAAAAAGTCTAGAATACAAGAGCACTCGCAAGAACCTCGAGTCAGCCGTTAGGGATTTGAGTCCAAGGCTTGAAAAGATCGAACAAGCCATGAGGCAGATGGATCTCCCAACTGAACATATAGAGAAATTGAAGGAGAAATTAGCAGAAAACAAAGAAGCTCTTGGAAAGCACAAAATCCGTTGGTGGAGTTGCGTCCTTGCCCCATATTCTCAGACCAAACTAGACGAAGGGTTGACTTCCCTAGAAAGGTTAATCTCTGTCGAGACACAAATTCTCATGCTTCAGCATTTGACTGACATCCTCTCCATTCTGAGTTCTCAAGGTCATCGTCCCCTTGGAGGCCCAACCAATTCAGCTCACGACACATATAATGCCGGGACGACACAGATATTCAAGGATCATCTTGATGATGGACACTCCCAATTTACAGTAGGATTGAATGGTGATTCCATGAAAGGGTTGAAGCGCAAGCTGCTTCATGGTGAAGAGCAAGTTCTGAACTTGTATGGTTTACCAGGATCCGGGAAGACCACTAAGGCTAGAAAACTGTGTCTTGATCTCCAAGTCAAAGGTAATCTCATTTTGTCCCATGTTACGCTGAAAGTTGCCTTCCACTGTTTATGTCTTGTTCTGTATTTTTGCCCTTTAGAGCCTTGAAACTGGGACCTGACACAAATGAGAGTTCTTTAAATAATAATATTGTCGATTGTTGTTGGGTTTGGTAGGTAAATTCAAGTCCAATGTGATCTTTGAGACGTTGGGTTCACAGATTCAAGGCAACGAGTTAATCTGCAAGTTGCAGGATCAACTGTCAAAATATGGGGAAAATGCAGTACTGTTGGTATTGGATGATGTTTGGCCCCACTCAGAAAATATGGTTGACAAGTTACGCCTAAGATCATCAGAATCTAGAATTTTGGTGACTTCAAGAGCTCAAATCAGAACAGTAAAAGCCCGGTTCCCTATGGATCTGCTCTGTAAGGAAGATGCAGAAAAACTTCTCCGTCACTTCGTTCGATCGAGTGACATCGATTTTGATGAGCCAGAAAGACGTAAAATTCTCCTCCAGGTGACATATATAAAGATTATACCAGATTTTTCACTAAGAAGATCATATTTTAACACACAAAAAGGTCCAAAAGTCATAACTTTCACTGGAGTAACTGACTGTATTTGGTTGACCGAAATGCAGATAGTTGACGGTTGTGAGGGATTACCATTGGCTATTGAGTTCATCGGAGGCAAACTAAGAGGGAAAGATATCGAAGCGTTTCAAAAGGTGCAATTAGAATGGTCGCGAGGTGATTCAATTCTTGATTCGCATACAGAGTTGCTTGGCCATCTCCAAAATACATTGAATCTTTTGGTAGATGAATCCATCATGGAGTGTTTTATGGACCTTGGGTTATTTCCCGAAGATCATAAAGTCCCCATTACTGCATTGATAGATATGTGGATTGAACTGTATGAACTAAATGAGTCAAGAGGCATAGATGCAATAATCTTCATCAAAGAATTGGTAGCCATGAATTTGGCCGCTGGCATCAAAATTAGAAGGTGGAGAAAAAGATGGGACTTCATTCTTCCTTTTCTTACACTTTCTAATCCTCTTACATTTGGGTTTATAATCTTGTTTAAGCAGGATAGTTGGAATGGACGTGGACAATTATTACAATAACGACTTCCTCATGCAGCATGATCTTTACAGAGAGCTAGCCATCCGCATAAGTGAACAAGAACCAGTAGAGAAGAGAAGGAGACTGATCATTGACATGTCAAATGATCCTCCGAAAGGGTGGCCCCAGCAACAACAAAGTTTAGCTGCTTCTATCCTGTCAATATCAACAGGTTTTTTTTTTTTTTTAATCTCTTCTAATCTCCAATTGATACGATCTCACTCAGTTACAAGTTAAAATTGCTTAAAAGAAAATGTTGAGAGTTTCCATTCATCGTCTTCCAAATTCGATATGCAGATAAAATGGTCGCTCCAGGTTGGTGCAACAATATACAAGCACCTGATGCTGTGGTTCTGATCTTGAACCTTAACACTGCAGAATATACTTTACCTGAATTCATTAAGGAAATGGGAGGCCTGAAAGTTCTTATAGTCACCAACTGTGGTTTCTGTACCAGTGACTTGAGAAACCTGGAGCTACTTAGTTCCTTATTGAGCCTTAAAAGAATCAGATTGCAGCAAGTTTCAATTCCATCCCTGTGTGATCTGAAGAATGTGCAGAAGCTATCACTTCACATGTGTCAAGTGAAGAATGCTTTCGAGAACACTTCTATTGACTTCTCAAAAGCAATGCCAAAACTGGAAGACTTGAGCATTGAGTATTGTAAAGACTTGGTCAAGTTACCAACCGGGCTCTTCAATATCGTCGCCCTCAAGAGCCTCACTGTAAGTAACTGTCACCAGTTTATTGGACTGCCTGAAGATATTGAAAAGCTTGAGAATTTGAAAACACTAAGGATTAGTTACTGTGCTAATATTGAAGAAATGCCAGAGTCAATCACAAAGCTGAAAAGTCTAAGCCTTCTGGACATATCATTCTGTGTGAGCCTTAAAAAGTTATCAGAAGAAATTAGTAAGCTGCAGAGTCTAACAAAGCTTTATGTGACGGGCTGCCCAGTACGTGCATTGCCTGACTCAGTCATGGGTTTTGAGAAGTTGGAGAGTGTTATATGCGATGAGTATGCATTTTCCTTTTGGGAAGTTATAAAATTGCGCTTTTCTGGGCTGAACATAAAGGTTGCCACCATGGATATTAGCTTGAACTGGCTTTCCTGATTTTTAGCTCCTTAAGTTCCTTCCTTTAAATTGTAAAACCTAGATCTCAGGTTTAGTCGTTTCCTTTCTTAGTTGTTGCTTGAATAAGCAAACTTGTACAACTTTGTTGGGCTTGAAAACTACGAGACTTTTGTTTGTGCACTGCACTATATATAATTTCATTTGTTCTGTCTTTATAATCAAGCAATTTTAACTCTGGAATGGAAGATAATGCAGGAGAAATCTGGAAACTTAACCGGGATGGATTGATGGTGTATTCATTAGGTAATTAGCCTCCCTGGAAAATTGAGTTCCATTTCAATAACAGCCACGGGTTTGAATTAGATTTTAGTTTCAACCTTGGCTCTACCATCGTATTTAGAGTCAATTACAAAGTTTTAAGAGACAAGCCTTTATATTGGTTTCTGGTGATTGTGGCCGAAGGAGCCAAATCATCCCCCTCCGAGTTCAAGAGACTGATCATAGAAGCATGCCATTATTGAATGATGGTCTTCAAATATTATCAACTTCTAAAATGTTGGTACTTCGGCTTGCCTTTGTATCTCAAAAAGACAAAAATGGTGACTTCAAGAGTTCAAATTACAACACTTATTGGCGCCAATGATATTAGGAAAAGTAGGAGAAGAGATGAGCAAAAAGCTGAGCATCATATTTTCAAGGCACAGTCAATACTTTTCTTTAAATTTAATTTATTCCCACCTATTTCAATGGAATTGAGAACAAATTCTTTCAATATAACAATGATTTTTATAAAATGATTATTTGACTTCTTTCTTCTTCTTGTAATCTCAAAAACAAAGACAATAAGGTTAGATATAAGAATAGAGTGATAATGAGAAGCATCCATAAATATCAATTTCACTTCCAATTCTCCCAGGTTCATTCCCAAATGAACGAGGTATTAATGAAAATGGATTCAGTTAATTAATTTCCCATAAAAGCAGGATCAATAATTGAGGAGGCTTTCTTTCTCTCTGAAAGGCGGTGTACTCTTCCGCTTTGGTCGTGGCATCTCCCTTCCAAGTCAAATTTTACTGCCAAGCTTTGGTGAAAGGCACATGGACTTACTGCAGAAAACACTATCTCTTTGTTTGGATTTTGGATCACCGACAATTTCATGCTGCTGAGCTCCAATCTTTAAGTAACTTGTACTGGAATCTTCATGGACAGGTTAACGTTATTCAATAACATTGTAATTATTTTGCAGTTTTCTTTAGCGATGTTCGGGACAGAGCTTTTATTTTAAATCGAGGTTCTTGGCTTCTTCAAGGTTTTATAAATGCTTGCGTTTTTTGAGTGGAAGCCAAATTGAATATGCCAATATATAGTCAAGGTCTCTTTTGAATATATATGCTCATGTTTTAGAGGCATAACATTTGAAAAGCTTCCTTGACCCATTGATTAAAAAAACAGCAGTAGCAGCTGCAATGGAGCTGAACATACAGCAACAATTCAAGGGCACATACCCAAACAAAAACTAAGTTCCTACTCACAACCCATGTAACAAGCTATACCAAGTAAAAATTGTAGAATAATTACTTCATAAAAACTGCCATTGTATAACAATTCATCAACAGATGTTTCCCAGTAAAAGTGCAAACCTATAGCCAAGGAAGTAGGAATAATGGGATTAGAAATAATGTTTCTATAAAGTAGAGATCCAAAAACAGGCTCATGAATACGGGCTGCCATTATACTACCATACGGAGCCTGTGGCGAAGATGCTTGGTAATTTGCTAGGAACCTTGTTAGCTTATGGTGAGTCCATCAATTTATTCTATCATGATGGACCTCGGGTTAAAGTAGCCCTTCTTGGTGCAAAGTATGCTCGTGACCGTCTTGTACTCTCCATACGTAGAAACACTGTTGAGTATTAAATATAGACATTTCTTTTAGTATAAATTTGAAACTTGATTTATCACATGCTGAGAAATTTCAAGTTGTTTTTTTTTCTTGGGGTAAGTATAGGTATCCTCTATATACTGTTGGATATTAAATGTGAGTACCTTTCCTAACAAAGATTTGAATCTTGGTTCAACATGTTGTGGGAGACTGACCTTTTCCATTAGACCCAACCCTTGTTGGTCAAGTTTTTTTCTTTTTTTTGGTTTGGTTTTTTATATGAGTTGGGCTTCTTTAGTTTGGTGTGTGGTCCTTAGGTAATGAAGCCCAATTGCTATGGATCGTATTATATATGAATAAAATTGCCTGTTTATCCCAAAGAGAAAATTCCCCATTAAAACTGAGAAGCTAAATGGAAATTGTTTTCTTTTTTTTTTTTGTATAAAAAGAGTGGAAGTTGCTTTTTCAGTCAAGGTCAGGTCTTCTGTTTTAAAAGTTCCACAAAAATATAGAAAAATAATTACAAGTTATACATCGGAGCTTTAAAGCGGGCGAAACTTATCGGAAGTTATGTAAAAGAACAAAAATGTCTTATTAATTAATTCCTCTTTCAAGACTCATTTTATAATATAAATTACATCACAAAATAAGTTTCATATTTAGGATAAAGAGAGAAACTTCAACGCTCCCACATCAGTTTCAGTCTTATTTTTCATTCTATTGGTTAGTTGAATGAATTCATTTTGGTTTTACTCTTTTAATATTGCTTATAACTAGCTTTCAATATGCTTGGCTAAAATTAGGAAAAATGTTAAATCTTCTTAATTCTATATTAAAATTGAATAATTTTTTAGCTTTATTTATTATATCTAACGTATGCTCCTATGATTCTATTTATAAAGTAAAGGAGAGGTTTTATTTAGTTCTCTTTATAAGTCAATATTAAATTTTTAATATGAATGAACTACTACTAACCTTACCCTTCATTTATTATTATCATGTAGATTATTATTTTTTTGAAATATATATTAAATAAAAATAAAATTAAAAAATTGTTAAATTATAAGACAGAGCGGGGTTTGAAGTTTTTCTTGATTCAAGTAAAACATGTTAAAAGTGATTAATAAATAATACTACATCAGTAAACATTAATAATAAGTCTAAGAACATAATACCCTGCAGAAAAATAGATGAGAGATTAAATTATACATTTATAATAAATTTAATGAGTTGGATCCATATTATATTACCTAACCAAAACATAACATTATATATACAAGAGTGCAAAATATTGTACAAGGAATAGTAGTCTATAAGTTATTTTCTTATTACATGGGAACCTAGGGTTAGACTTTAATATTACTGTAAACATCATATATAATATTTACCATGGGATTGTGAGGTAAAATTTTTGGAGGTAATTTATAATTGGGTTAATTAAGAGGATCAAAATACCTATTAGATATTACTCATTTGCTCATATTTACAAATCAGAGAAAAAAAAAGAAGGTTTTAGCCCTATTTACGGGGAAAGAGAGAATTTTTTTTATATATAAATGTACAATATTATTATTTTATTGAATATAAAAAGATGCCATCTTGAGTCAAAAAAAAAAAAAAGCATCCATCACATTTGCGTTTTGATAACTCTGTTTTGTTAAATTATATGTAATTACATAAACATTTTATATATTAATGTTCTTATTTAAATGTCATTTTAATCACGATGAGTCTATTTTTCTGTTGACCCTGACTTAAACTCTATTGGCAGAAAAAACAAAAAACCTCATTTGTGCCTTTCTTAATCATGCATGCAGATACGGGCTGTCAGTCTGTCTGTACATGGTCCCTTCCCCTGCCTCCTGGCATCACTAATAATAATAGGGAAATTATACAAAGGTCCCAAATAGGACAGATTATTACTACGGTGCCGCAGCATCTTCAAATAAATCTCAAATCCCATGGGACTTGAGTCAAGATGAATGAATTAACCAAGGCTCTCAATTGAATATTGTCCGAGCCTATCCTTTTCTATTTATAAACCAAGGGGTGCAATTGCATTGCGACACCTGTCCTGTACATATTATTCTAGAGGCAATAACCGAATGGCTATAATACAAATATATACTTTATATGTGTACAGAAATAATATTGTTTAACTCCCTCCTTTACTTCGAACCTCCTTGGTCTTCCTCTTTTCCTTGGTGGTCTTTGGGATTTCTTGTATGGTCTTGGTAGGTGATACTGTCACACCTAGTTTGTCCCTTAGATGGCAGAATCGTGCTTGATTTAGTGGCTTAGTGAGGCAATCGGCTATTTGATGATCAGTGGGAACATATTTCACGGTCAAGGCCTTGGACATGACTTGATCTCTAATGAAGTGAGTATCAATTTCAATGTGTTTTGTCCTGGCATGATGTATGGGATTTGATGCTATAGCTGCAGCACTTGTGTTATCACACCATATGGTAGGAGCTCTTTGGATTTTGAACTTTAGTTCTGAAAGTAGAGACTTTATCTAGCATAATTCAGCAGTTGTGTTTGCTAGTGATCGATATTCTGATTCAGTGCTGGAATGGACAACTACTTTTTGTTTCTTGGAAGACCAAGTAACAAGTGAATCTCCAAGGAACACACAGTATCCTCCAACTGATCGTCGATCATCAGGACAAGAGGCCCAGTCTGCATCTGAGTAAGCCACAATATCAAGCAAGGAGGATGGTTTGATATGAATACCATGGTGTATGGTGCCTTTGAGATATCTTAACACTCTTTTAACTGCTTTCCAGTGGGCCGTTGTAGGTTTAGAGAGAACTTGACTCAATTTGCCTACACAAAAACTTATATCTGGCCGAGTGTTGCATAGGTATTGAAGAGCTCCTACTGCACTTCGGTATAAGGATGGGTTTGACAAGTCTTCACCTGAATGAATGGATAGTGAATTGTGGGTTGCCATGGGAGTCGAGCATGGAGTTGCATTGCTCATTCCAAATCTATCAAGAAGGTCTACAATATATTTGCCTTGGGTTAGATATAATCCAGATTTATCTCTGTTAGCTTCAATCCCTAGGAAATAGTGCAGTGAGCCCAAGTCCTTGAGTGAGAATATGCTGTGCAGTTTTGTAGTGAAGTATTTGAGGCTATATGAGTTACTCCCAGTCACCAGGATATCATCAACATATATTAAAATAATCAAGATCTGTGTCTTGTCAGCATACACAAATAAGGAGACATCACTTTTGGAGTTTGAGAATCCCCAATTCAGTAGCACGTTTCTAAGTCGATCAAACCAAGCCCGCGGGGCTTGTTTTAAG